TATTTATTAACTGACTTGAAAGTATTTATTGGTGTTCAAATTCGTACAACAGAAAATATTTTTTTATTTTTGATGGATATATTATTTATGTATGGGCCAGAGCCCATTAAAAAAATACAATAATACAGAATACATATTACAGTAATTAAATAAAAATAAAATCCTAAATATTAATAGGTAAATTAATTAAAAATATGTACATATTAATTATTAATAATAATGAAAAATCTAAATATAACTACTAAATTCTGTGGGAGAGATATGTTAAGTTGATTAGCAGATATTATCACTCTAGGAGTAAAAGAATGAGAAGCATCATCTTAATGCGTTGTTCGATATTAATTTATTCTTGAGGACTTTCCCATACAGCACAAACACATTTCGGAAATATTTCAAAAATATTACATTGAAACATTTGTAATGTTGTATAAATATTACGAAACATCCCAGAAACATTTCTGAAATGTGCCTGAAACGTAAAAACGTCCAGTAAATATAATATTTCACAGTAATATTTCTGAAATAAAAATTTTAAATCTTTTAGAGATATTAAATAGTAATATTTCAGAAATGTATTCTAGCTTTTTTTCTCTAAAATATTGTTAGACTAAAAAAAAGACATTTATAAATATACATGTCTATTTAAAATACACAAAACTCAAATATTGATTCTTAAAACATTATTTCATAAAATATAAAGGGGAATCACTTCATTTCCACAAAGTCCTTTAAATGCACTAATCTGAAACAAATAGTTTTATTTAATAAATGCCCCAAGTAAAGAAACATATACGATTGTTACAATCTAATCATTAAGATCAATTAGAAATTTTATTCTAACTTATCAAGGGATGAAAAACTTCACAAACTGATATTCTACTCTCTAGTATACCTTAGAGTCTAAATCACTTAACTGCACTATACTATGCTTTAACATCACTGAACTAACTCAAAAGGCTTGGTCTCTTGAGTCTTCTTATTAGATTTGGCATTGTTGAGGAGCTGGATAATCTCGAGGTTTCCATGCTGGAGCAGTTGTTGTTAGTGACTACTGGCAAATTTTTGTATTGTATTTTCAACAGTCTCCACTTTAAGGTCCCTATGAAGATCAGTATTGTGGCAGTACCAGGGTGCATTGACGATGTTCCTTAATGCTTTATTCTGGAAACGTTGAATAACTTTGATGTCACTTTTCTGACACATCCTCAAAGTTGGCGAATTGCTTCATTTTTACCAATTCCTTTAAACGCACTAATCTGAAACAAATTATAGGTAATTAAAAAGGCATATTAATATTGTTTTAAATTAACTATAATAAAACAAACAATACTCATGCATACCCAAAACATGAAGCTCTACTTTTCAATCAGCTGTAGAACTAATAAATAAAATTGGTGGAAGGACAGCAAATGTAGGTTATATTTAAATAGAAATAAGAATATAAAATGCCTATAAATTGAATTTGATAAACGAAATGGCGTACGATTAATGTACTTTTCAAGAAAATGCTTGAAACATATACTGCTGAATTTAGAAGGTTACCAATTATACTTGTTGACAAACTGTATCCCGCGCTACGTTTTATAGGATTTTTTGGAAATCTATAAATATTATTTCGTATGAAAAAGTATTATTCTAATATAGGTAGGCCCAAAAGTTGATATATGATTTTTTTTGCATTTTTAAAAGCATACTTTTACACATTTTATACAAACCTATCATAATACTGTCCTGTATAATATTTATAATTTTGATACTAACCTATGAAACGTTATTCCAGTCGAATTTTCATAAAAACGTCTGTCGCTAGAGCAGGAACGTATAACACAGCAAGGCGTTATATACTTTATAAGTTTGTAACACTCAAAATTTGCTCAAACACAAATTAAATTAAAATTTAATTACACAAATAACACTAAAAATATAACCTATAAAATTTGACAATTTGCACTCACAGTAATGGCGGACCGGTCCCACTTTTCGCTTACGCATGTCGTATCCCTAGGTTGCCAGATCAATGGTTTGTCTCGTCCATGTTTCCGTCCGTCTGTCTATGGTACTTTTGACAATGCTTTTTCATTGTAAATGACAAATGATCTTTTACGTTGTTCCATTCAATTCAATCCATTAATGTTTCGTTAATGCCTTTTTGGCAATGCTATTGCGCACGAGTACTTGTCAATGACTGCTAAATGACAGTTCACGCTGAATGTCTTTTGTTTTGTTTGAATATATAACCACAGAATAACCACTATATATTCTGTGATATAACTGATAACAGAGATATAAGCTTAAGGTAAAGCTACTGTGAATGAGTACTTGTCAATGTCAATTCACGTTGAATGCTGTTTGCCCTGTTTAAATCGGTCATATAATAACAGTGTGTCTCCTTCATAGTACCGTTTGCCCCTTGTAAATTAACATATATTAACTAGTGCCCTTTATTCTTTGTCACTGCGCATGATTTTTCTCTTTAATGTTAATCTACGTCATGTCTCTTTCACAGTGCCGTTGTCTGATGCAAATTGGACCAATAATACTGGTTGTCCTTTTGCTTTTTTTTTTTTTCGTTTAACTATACTTAGGTGGGGATTCTCATAGCAGCAAAAGAAGTTACCAGAAACAATATCACTGGAAAGAACATGCTCATATATACAGATAGCAGACAAGTTTACTCGCCCTGGACAGATCACGAATTTACTCAGAGTTAGTACTAGAATGTTACGAGGCTTTGGTCGAAGTATTTATCAACAATATTACCTTAAGATAAATCAAAGGTCACGCCAGATCGAAAGGTAACCGTCTTGCTGATTCACTAGCCAAGAAGGAAGAAGGCAGCCAACCAAATACTTTTTGGACCTGGCTCTTCTATTGGACAACATCGGTAGTGACAAACCTAATTAAAGAAGATCCCTTTGTGAAATTCAAGGAAAGATGGAATGAAACAAGAAGCTGCACCTTTGCCAGGGAGCTTTTAAGTTATCCTGACAATACTACAGAAAACAAATGATTATACATAATCTTCTAATTACAGGCCCACACGTTACAGATATAGATATGTGACAAATATAAAACAGTATGACCACAGCTAACAAAACAGTGAAAAATAACTAGCAACGTTAAGTATCTGTAAGGTGGGGAGGCTGGGTTGTTCCACAGCACTTTTTTTTCTCTCTCTTGGGCTCGTCTGACTATGTGTCTCCGAATAACACTGACGCCTATTGGCTTATTGTGTTTTACCCCATGTTAGTTCATAGCACAGTCTCTATCACCTTTGTACCTTGTACAAGTTTGTACAGATCCTTGGGTGAGTGGGTTCTATACGTTGTTGGATCAACCTGTGGTTGTCCAAAAAGAGCCTGTCTTTTGCGATCTAGAGCTTCGCATTCGCACAGTATGTGTTTGGCCGTTTCTGGTTTCTTGTGACATAGTCGGCACATGAGTTCCCCATTGTACATGCCAATTTTGTTCAAGTGTCCCTTTACTGGGGCGTGCCTAGTCATGAACCCTGTTATCACTTTCAACTGGTTCCTATTCATTAAGAGTAGTTCTCCAGTTCTTTTGGGACATGGTCTGCCTATGAAGGCTTTTCCATGTGCCTGTTTTGGGGTGTGCTTCCCCAATAGTTGATATGTTGTTCCCGAATCCAGTCATTTATAAAACCCCGGACTGTAGTTTTTGGTACTCCTGGGTTTGTGTCTGGTTCCGGTGTTTCTTCTGACCCTCTTTTTGCAAGTTCGTCAGCCTTTTCGTTGCCTTCGATCCCTTTGTGACCTGGCACCCAAAATAGTTTACTCTATTTCGGTCTGCCAGTGTTCTTAGTTCTTCGATGCATTCCCATACCAGCCTCGACGTAACTTTCTGACTCGATATGGCCTTAAGTGCCGCTTGGCTGTCTGACATTATTTGAATATGCTGATTTTCGACAGCTCTTTCATTGTTCGTTTTTGCACATTGCAAAATTGCGTATACCTCGGCCTGAAATACCGAGGAATGTATTCCTATAGCATAACTATGGTTAGTATCAGAGTTTTTGGAGAATACTCCTGCCCCAGTGCCTTCCGCAGTCTTAGACCCGTCTGTATACCAGGTTTGTTCCTGTCGCTGGGCATTGGGCTCCCTTATGGTGATCTCCGCTCTTTCCTGTATTAAAACCTCAAAGGGAGTATTAAAAGAGTACCTCTTGGTTAAGTGGTCTGATCTCATGTCTAGCACGTCTCCTGTCACTAACCTTGAGATACTCATGTGACCTGGCCTAATGTCAAGATTTCCCAGTGTATTCCCTAATCTGTAAGCACCTAATCTTGCCTCCCCTTGTATCACATAGTGAAGAGGTGGGAGTCCTATTAGTGCTTCCATTGCAGCAGTGGGGGTTGTTTTCATTGCCCCCACAGCACTTATGCCTCATAAGGCCCATTGTACACCTCCAGGGGCATATATATTTTGCTTCTTAACTTGTCAAAACCTCCTGGTTGTCGCTGAGAGGTGTAGAGACAGCCATCTTCCCAGCTCATCAGTTCTACAGGTTATCAACTCGTCAAAAACCTGCTAGTTGACGCTGAGAGGTATCTACAGACAACTATCTTGTCAGCTCGTCAAAGTCCTGCAGGTTATTAACACATCAAAAACCTGCTGGTTGTTGCTGGGGGATGTCTAGGGGTAACTCTAATCAAGAATGTACCAACCTTCCACAATTGATGAATTGCGTCTCTTTCATCCTGAAATTGTCAGTAAATATAATTTTTTTTATATCCATGATTGGTGGTGGAGAACCATTGGGTACCCACTGTATGGATTCTTATTTAGACTAAGTTGTACTACTCGGGTTCAATTAAAGTTCATCTAAACCTGATTTTGACTGTGACAGACGTTATACTAATCATACTTATAATGTAACAGTCAATGATATACCCAAGTCTGATTGCCATGCAGTAACAAAGAATACCTACATAAATAAAACCACAAAAATAGATATTATTACATTTTTTATTAGTAAATAGAACTCTTTAATCTAAAAAAACAATCAAAATTTATCTAAATGGGTACATCTTAATCCTCCCAGTACCATGAGTGGTGATGTTTAGGAGGACATGGGTCATCGATGCAACCAAACTTGCATACGAACGCATAGTAAGCAGTAGATTTCCTAGCAGTCCTTTGCCTGGTTGGACAATCGAATTCCACATCGTACAAACCGTACCTTTTGGTGTAGCCCATCAACCATTCGAAAGTGTCGATGTATGAGTAGTAAGTGTAACCGTAAACGCGAGCGTCATTGTTGATCATAGCAGCTCTTATGTTTACCAACGAATCGTGGATGTAAGTAATACGGTCTTCATCTTCGAATATCCTATCAGCTGTGTAGAATCCTGAAGCTGTTATGAATATAGACGGGTTGTAGTAAGTATCCTTAATCCAAATGATCAATTTCTTGATTCCGAAAGTGATATCTCCTTCAATATCTAAAATTTCAACGCCAATATCGTTGGTATAAGAAACAGAACCGCATGATTCTGCCCTGATAGCTTTGACATTCTTGCTGGTGAACCATTGTAGAGCGAAGAAATCGTGGGTGTCTTTGATGAATTCAATTTCTTTCCTGGTAAATCTGGGTAGTCTAGATTCTGGCAATCCTTCGTATTCCGATAATTCCCCAATTCTGTCAATCATAGCTGGAGGGTAGTCACCGATGTAAATAGCATGCGCAAACCAACCAATGGTGAATTGCAATTTCAGTTCAGCTGCATCAATATCAGTTTGGCAATCAGAGTTAGGTTCGTACCAATCAGATTGTAAAGCAATTGATATTTTTCCTTTTTGAATATCCCTGTAGCAGTCATCGTATAGATGGTACACTCTAGCGTGCGCTTTAAGCAGAATATGACCGCAAAGGTAGTCATTAACTCCTGTGTTATCGCTGATACCTGGGGCGTAGATACCATCTCCGTAACCACCGTTACAAATCAAAGTAGGGTTGTTGAAAGTAATCCAGTACTTGACGTAATGTCCAAACAGCTCGAAGACAGTCTTAGCGTATTCTTCGTACCATAGAGTAAAATCTTCGCTCAAAAATCCTCCCATTGCCTGTAAACATTGAGGTAGATCCCCATCGTAGATGGTGACGATTGGTTCGATTTGATTATCCTTCAGAAGCTTTAATAACCTTTCGTAGTATCTGACTCCAGCTTTGTTGACTTCCCCACAACCGCTAGGGATGATCCTAGTCCAAGATAAAGAGAATTTGTAATGGCTTACTGTGAGGTTGTTCAATATTTCTACGTCCTCTTCGGTGTGGTGGTAGGCGTCTGCTGATATGTCACCATTGGTGCCGTCAATTACTACGTCTGGTTCGCAGTGGAGCCATGAGTCCCAGATGCTTTCGCCTTTACCGTCCAAGTCCCAAGCACCTTCAATATTGTGAGCTCCAGATGCAACTCCGAAAGAAAACTTCTGAGGGAATGGTTTGTTTAGTGGTGGTGGAGGTGGTGGTGGTGGATGATGTACCGAATGAGGTGGTATCCCCAAACTTGCTTGTACTAACACTGTTACCGCAAATAATATCACTGAAAGACCCATTGTAGTGGTGTGTGGGTTTCGATTTGGAAACTACATTGATAGAATGCGGGTCGGTATTTAAACAAAATTGTTTGGAAGATATCGTCGATTTACGTAATTTAGAAATACGATTTTGTCACGTAGTTTGCTTTTTTGGAAGATTTAAAAGTAAACGCGTTATTTTAATCTAATTAAATTACATAAAATTTAATGAATAGTGATTAGAAAGTATCGGGTGCTAAAATTTTATGGATTAAAATCGTCAGGTATTGAGGTTATTTTTTTAACAATTTAGATTGTTTTATTCAAAATTAAGTAAAGGTAAGCTAAGAAGAAGATATCGTAAAGTACATCTCAAATTTCACAAACATGTTTTGAAGGATTATGTATCAATTTTTCGAATAACGAAAGTATTTTAAAATTAAATATTGAACTGTTATACAGCTTTCATAAGCATGACGAAAGTCCGAGTAAATTTATGTTTTTAACGTCATATTGTGCATAAAATAGTAATAAAACATTTTTATGATTAGTATATAACCCCACTTATTTAGTATTTTATAAAACCGTTATATATCAGTTTTATAAAGATTTTATTAAGTGAACCGGATTTCCTTTTGTAATAAATCAGTGTTACTTTTATAATGTACAAAAAAGCAACTTTATCGTTTGGACTATAAATTTAATATTACTAACGGTGCACATACAGGTATTTGCACGATCTACGCGGCTAAAATTATTTTTTTGCTTATTTGTTATCTAAACAACGTAAATAAATAAAATGTTATTTTTACAACATATCTATATATGTTCTAAAAATTTACAAAAAAAATACAAAATTTTAGGTCGGCAAAAAAGTTTGTTAAGTTTCTTGACTTTCTTCGTCGCTCTCTGATGAACTTCCTGTTTCAATATGGGATTCTGCAGATACAAACATGGCCAAGGTTTCAGGCAAAAATGTTTTTGCTTTCCTTTTTTTTACATTTCGCATGCTTCTTAGCACAGGATCTGAACCAAGCAGAAGGCGATTAAAAATGTCCTGATTACAACTTTCCCTGGAAAATTTCCTCGCAAAATCTTGTCGGTAACTTCTGAAATGTTTATTGCGATTGGTAACAATGCCTTTTCAATAATGACTGCACCATGCACTAAAATCTTGTGCATTGTTGGCGTCATAGGATGCCAATCATATAACTTAACATAAAGTCGAGCAGTTTCTGAAGCATATATTTCATAATTTACCGGATCAATTTTAAATCCGCTTGAAATTGCTTCCAATATGACTTTTAGTCTGTATATCAGTTCATAGCTAATGCCAGTTATTTCTGCAGCTAATGTGGGATTCTCAAAGAACCTTCCGCTAGTATTTCCGTCATTTGTATTCCCGAAATTGGATTTAGACATCTATTAGTAAACCTGTTTCAGTGCGGAACCTTGTTTGTATCTCTATTTTGGTTTGATCTTTAGGTCTTTCTCCTCTTTCGATTTTCTTCCCCTATATTTTTTCACTTTAAGTGTATATGCTAAGTGTAGGATGCATTCAAATAATCGAATTCTAGCGTGTAACACAGATATGCCGAATTCAAGGGCTGTAAAATTCACTTCTCCTTTGTAATCCAATTTATTAAAGTCTTTCGAGGTTGCCCCACATATGTAGCACCTACTCGTAGACTTTGTGCCTGAAGCTGCATTGCAGACCTTTTCATCTACCATGGTAATGATAAATTTGTGCTTGATTAACAACTTTTCCCTCCTAGGTCGACCTCTGTTGGAACTAAAGAGGTAATAGCGCTTTTGACGTGTGTTATTTCCTCTTCAGTTACATCATTAGTTTCCTTGATAAAACGGAATCTTATTGGTTGACAAAATCGCGGCGAAGAGGGCGTTAGATTATTCCATAAAACTTTTTCATTTTTATCTCCAGAAACTAATTGAAAAGGCACAAAACAGCTTTGGAATATGCTTGAATCCGAATCAATGTCACTTTCTAGTTTTTGTTTGAACTGTGATTGTTGAGACCCATCGCAGCCCCATTTACTAATTATAGTTAGGCAATCACGCTCTTTCTCCTTTAAAGTTATTAATACCTCTTCTAGATACTCCGATAAACGCCTAACGGTAACATCCATTAGAGGCTGTAACTGAGCTTCGGCACAGGTACTCGTTACCATTAACGATTCTTGAGGTGGGTAATATTTCTTTTTGGCTTTTTGTAACTATAGCACGGAAAAAACTTATTATTGGTTTTTCTTATGATTTCGTACTGTCCTTGCGTCAAATCGGCATCTATAAACATTTGCAATGCTTGCATTGGTGTTAAAGTGCTCTTTACTTGATTTCGTAAGATAAACCTTTTTATATTGTCGGAGAACTGGTGATATCTTTTAAGACATTTGATGCAGCTTTTTTACCAGATTTTCGCAGCTCCACTTTCGCAGCATGTATTATGATATCTTTTTCAAAATTAGAACGCAGTTCTTCAGTCTTTCGTTTTTTGCTTCTCTCACTTGCGTCTTCAAACGATTTGGATGGTCGACCTGGCCGTTTTTGTGAAGCCCCAACGACAGGTATTTCAAAAGTACCTTCTAGCCAAGATCGGTTGTATTTTATAAAATTATCTTCTTTATAATGAGCTTTGGTCCACCTTTGTTTAATTTCTGATTTGAAATGGGCAAAACCACGTTTCAAATTAATAATTTGATCTTCATTATAACCTTCACATGACAAAAGTTGATCTTTTAGTTTAATTTGGCATTTAAATTAGACAAATTTTCTGTCTTCATGCGGTCATATAAGTCTTGTCGGGTCACAACCCTTACTCCTGATGCACCCTCCAAACCTAAAACAAACATACACTATATTAAAAGCAGCTAATAAACATTTCCAATTTTATACGAAATTTTGCTAAATATCTTTAATTAATGCCTCAAAGCTGTATTTATCCGGACGTTTCTGGAGATGTTTTTGTTAGTATTTATAAGGAAAATGATCACATAATAACCTATAATGATAACTATAGCTCGATCTACATAAACCACATACATAAACAAAAACACTAGAATAAAAAAATATTTAAGGAAATCACTGTATGAAAATGAGTTTTCTTTGTTATAAAAAAATTATATTGTATAATGGATAATCATGAATTTATTAATGTAGTTTGGAAGTTTCTTACCTTGTCCATCAGAATCCATCACTTTCAATTCGTAAGTATAACTTAATAACATAAAAATTCACTTCAGAAGTTTAACGTTTAGAAAAGCACCGAGAACAGATACGTACACTAGGTAAAACGGTCAAATTCTGAATGAGATAGCAGATAGGGATGCGCGATACGATCCGATATTTCAGAGTATCGATACTTTTACGTCCGATACTCGATATTTTGGATCGATACTTTGCTTTACGATACGTTGCAAGTATCGATACATTTCTACTGTATCGATACCTTTACGATCCGGGATTTTGGTTGGTGGCGGATCGGGGTGGCGTCATCTACTAGCAAAACGAAAAATTAAATACATTTACGCAACCGTTATTCATCGTTTGCAGTTTCTGTAAAAATGCATATACTTGATAAAATGGTATCGTTGTATGAAGATATCAACAACGATCGTATTCTAATTTCTTATGAGCACAGTATCGTTCTATCCTCTGTCTGTCCTCTGTCAGTCAGCTGTTAACTGGGCTGAGTGAATCCCTGAAATATTTTCGTGTTATAAGTAGCTACTATTTTTTTATGTAGTTAGGAGTATCTAAAATAATTGGTTTGTTTTATCTTTTGATTATGATGTAAGCCGCACAATTGTGCTGTGTACTTTGTGGTGCGTTATTTTATATTGATCTTGTACATAATTATTTTTAAAATGGTAAATAAATGTTTTAAATAAAAAAAAATAATATAATCTGTCTGTCTTCAATTTATTACTACCTATCAAACTGTCAAGTCCTAATAAAGTGGGAATAACTGAAATAACTACTAAAAATCTCGGATCGTTAAAGTATCGATATTTCGAGTATCGATACATCAACATTCGATATTTTACTGTATCGATACTTTACGTTCCGATCCGTATCGATACCTGATATCGATACTTTTAAGTGTATCGCGCATCCCTAAGCAGATATGACCATGGGTATTGTTCCCGGATTTGTTCTCTGTTCGTGGAACTCGTTATCACAGCTTATACAATGGGTCCTATGATTGAACGTTTACGTTATCCATAACGTACATGTTAGGCTCAGTTTTAACAGTAATTAGGCAAGTTCGTATGATGAAAAACGGTTTCCAACACATTACTGTTATTTTCCGCCTGTTATGTTCTAATTTAACAGTTTTCCATCATACAAACTTGCTTAGTTACTGTTAAAATTCGACCTAACATGTACGTTATGGATAACATAAACGTTCAATCATAGGACCCAATATAAGCTGTGTCGTTATTATGAATGTTATTGTTATTTTGTTATTAGGACTTTTGGCCTCGTAGATCGTGCAAATACCTGTATGTGCGGTGGTATGGAAATCATATAATATATTATTCGTGGTAACGACTTAAAACGCTTTCCTCTACCCAATTTTTGATTCAGGTAAGTTTTATATCAACGTTTACATAAATTATTGGAAAAAATTCACGCACCCTAATTTAAACGAGTTTTTGTATTTAATGAGTTCACTTTAATGTTAATGTTAATTACAGCATAAATTTATTAAAACAAGTTAATAATTCATCTATTGCGGTATTTTGTTTTTTAATTCTAATAAAGTTTACTGTTTCAATCATGATTTATAATGTTATAGTTTATAGTTTTTTTTATTTCTTAATATGGCGTATTTAAAACGGACCTAAATTTCTGTTAGAAATGGTGACAACTTACAATTATTTTTATCATATACGTACAGAACGTTTACACAAAAAACTTCTCTTTTACACTTACACTAAGGGAAGTATAATCAAAAATCAAACATTTTTAAAAATGCAGATCTCGGCGGTATATCAGTATTAAAAGGCTGCTGCGACTCACTTTATTTTTACCAAAATTTTTAATATTGATTCAATTTTAAAAGTTTTTGTACCAAAATAATTCTCATCAAATTTTAAACAACTTTAAAAGTGGCCGTCTGTCCATCAACTTGAGTGGCGAGGTTTTTGCATAAATGCAGTAGAGATGCAGAACTGCCAAAAAATGCAAGTATTTCATACTTGCATTCTTTTGGCAGTTCTGCAGCTCTACTCCACTTATGCACCAGCTGCCACTGAACTTGAAATTTCAGGAAAAATTAAGCTCTATAATGGGATGAAGCCTATCGACTCTGAAGCAAATCTGAATAAAACATTGACTCAAAAACGAAAAATGATATTAACTTGAAATTTTTAGCAAAAATCAAGTTCTATAAGGGGATGAAGTCTATTGATTGAAAAATGGGGGTGTTAAGGGGGTTGAAATAAAAAAAAAATAAATCAAAAACGAAAATCGGTATCAACATAAAATGTATGTAAAAATCAAGCTCTGGAGATGAAGCCTATTAATTTTCATGAAAATCTGAATAAAAATGGAAGGGTTAAGGGGGTTCAAATATTAAAAAAAATCCTTAGTCAAAAACGAAAAATGATATCAACTTGAAATTGATTTTGAAAAATCTTATTAAAAGTGGGGGTTAAGAGGATGTCTGTTAAACTGTGAAGATTCTAATATAGCATATATCTTCATTCTAGTTTGCCTATAAGTTTACTTTTTTAAAAATCGTTTGATAGCGAAAAATACTACTGAAATTTTCTAATTCGGTGCTAATTTACAAGAGTCAAAACAGACATAAAAAATATAGAGACATTTTTATAATCTCTACAATTTCTAAATTATTTGAATCCATTCTGACTGATGAGGTAATTTCCACATTTCTCCATTCCAACATGGGTTCTAATGACGATCAGCTACTACAAATCTTGACATATATATCAGGAGTAATTATTCACATCTCTCGAAGGTGATCACCAGGTTGAAGCTGTCTATGCAGACTTCATCTAAAGCTTGACACGACACAATCTACTCGTAAACATTCTGTATCATGTTAAGGCATATGAGGTAGAATAGGTATCATGCAAAACATGATATCTAGCATGACACTCCATACTACCCATACAGCACAAACACATTTCGGAAATATTTCAACAATGTTACACTGAAACATTTGCAATGTTGTATAAATATTACGAAACATCTCAGAAACATTTCTGAAATATGCCTGAAACGTAAAAATGTCCTCTTTTAGAAATATTAAATAGTAATATTTCAGAAATGTATTCTAGTTTTTTTTCTAATATATTATTAGACTAAAAGACATTTAAAAATATACATGTTGATTTAAAATTCACAAAACTCAAACATTGATTCTTAAACAAACAAATAAATATGTTTTAAAGAATATGTCATAAAATATAAACGTAAATTGCTTCATTTCCACCAATTCCTTTAAATGCACTAATTTTAAACAACTAGGTTTTTTTTTTATTAATAAATGCTCCAAGTAAAGAAACATTTACTATTATTATAATCTAATCATTAAGATCAATTAGCAATTTTATTTTTACCTAACTTATCTAGGGATGAAAAACTTCATAAACTAAAATTCTACTCACTATATAATGTACTTTAGAGTCTAATTATAATAATAATAATAATAATAATACTCTCCCTAAATTCACCCCCTTACGAGTGAATTTTAAACCCAAAAGCTGAGCTTGTACGGGGAAAGGAACGACTATTATTATTATTATTTGCCGTGGCGCTCCGGGGCGACTTAAAGATGATTGATGGTGCCATTTGACTTACAGGTGAGGAAAACCTCACCCACCATCATCGAGACGGTAATGCACGATTTTATAATCTGCATGTCATATAAACAGAAATTGAATTTTTATTAATACGGCACACATCAAATCCTATACCGAACCATGCAATTTAATTAAAAATCCACATGGTCTGGTCTGGGATTCTAAGCCTGGCAGTTTAGGACTATAAACTTGCCTATAAATGAATATAAGCGCGTTAAACTGCTACACCACCGACCCGATTATTTAGTTACACTACCGTTAACGTATAACACTTAACCGCACTATAGTCTGTTTTAATCTAACATCATTGAACTAACTCAAAAGGCCTGGTTCTCTTGAGTCTTCTTATTAGATTGGCATTGTTGAGGAGCTGG